TGGGGGGGCCTCCCCCCCGTGCCCAGCACGCCGCCTCGGCCGCCAGCTGCCTCACAAAGGGCTCCCCAACGCACAGCAGGACGTTCTCGGGCTTGATGTCGGTGTGGATGATCTTACACTTGGTGTGCAGGTAGTCCAGACCTTCCAGGACCTGCCCCAAGCCCCCCAGATCAGGAGGGGGGCAGGGGCAGCCTGTGATGTGCAACCCCCACCCCCAAACCAACCTGCAGGGGGGATATCGGGGCCAGGGCACGTCGGGATGGGGGGGAAGAAGAGCTCCCCATGGGGTCTGGGGGGGCCATTTGGGGCAGGGTTGGGGTGCAGATCCCCCCATGGGGGTCTGGGCAGGGTCCACAGGGGCACTGTGGGGCTCTGGAGGGAACACCTTAAATTCCCGTGGGGGTGGTGGCAGTGGAGCACGTAGGAGGGGGGGGTTTGGAAGGCTCCAGGCAGGACATTTGGGGTCCCAGGGAGCCTGGGGAGGGGGCTCAGGGGGGACTCGGCCCCCCCCTCACCTGGCGCACGATGCTCTTGACGCAGGGCAGGGGCAGCCCCTGGTAGTTGGATTTGATGATCCAGCGCAGGAGCTGGTGGCCCAGCACCTCCAGCACCATGCACACGTCTGGGGGGGGGTGGGAAGTCAAGGAGCGCCCCCGGACCCCCCGGGACCTTCCTCCGCAGGGCAGCAGACATGGGGGGCCCCCCCGCACCCCCCCCCATATCCCCGAGGACCCCCCCCCGAAAGGATACGGACGCCGTTGACCCCCGAGATCTTGAAGTCGTCGATGAGCTGCACGATGTTCTCGCGGTTGGGGTCGCTGGGATCCGAGTCCCGCACCTGGGGGGGGGGCGCGGGGGGGGTGGTTACGGAGGAGCGGATCTGGGGGTCCCCCCGTTGCGGGGGGAAAGCCGGGGGGCGGGGGGCACTCACACATTTCAGCAGCTTGATCTCGTCCAGCGCCGTCTCCGTGTACTGCGGCGCGCTCTTCACCACCTTCAGCGCCACGAACCGCTTCCGCCTGCCCGGGGAGGGGGCACCCACGGTCCGGGGGGGGCACCCAAAATCCAGGGGGAGCCCCCCCCGCATCCTCCCCGGCACTCACCGGAGGTCCCAGCAGAGCCACACGGTGGAGAAGTGGCCCCAGCCCAGCTTTCGCACCACGTGGTAGCGCCCGTGGAACAGGTCCCCGATCCGCACCGGGTAGTACCCGCCTGGAGGGGGG